TTAGGAATTGGAGCCTTTGCGAGGTGATTAGATCATGAAGTCGGAGCCCTTATGAATGGAATTAGTTCCATTATAAAAGATACTAAGACAGCTCCCTTGTCCCTTCCATCATGTGAAGACATAGTGAGAAGTTGGGAGTCTACAACCCAAAAAGCACCTTCACTAGAACCCCACCATGCTGGCACCCTGATCTTGGATTTCTAGTTTCCAGAACTGTGAGAAATAAATTTCTGTTGTTTATTAGCCACCAAGTCTGTGGTATTTTTTATAGCAGCCCAAATAGACTAAGCCATGTTTGAAATCTCCCTCTGCCTCTATCTTATAAGCAAACATATGATTGCATTTAGGGCCTACCCATACAACCCAGGGCAAGATCTTCTCTGAAGTTCCTTAATCTAATTGCATCTTTTATCACATAAGAGAATAGTCACTCTTTTGCCATATAAGGTATTATTATTTAGAAGTTTTAAGTATTAAGAAGTGGACATATCTTTTGAGGGACCATCATTCAACCCATTACAGGCTCCATTTTACTTCCACTTTTCTTTCATCAGGCTAGCAGAGAACCAGGAGAGGCTAAACTGGAAGAAGAGAGGAGAGAAGTTTTTTCCTTTTTCCCTGGAAGGCGTTTGACTTGCTGCTTCCCTAATCCATTGGAGCAAACCAGAAATGTGTGCACAAGCACAAAAGGCAAACCTAGAAAGTCCAAGTAATTTGTGTTTATTATTTTGTGTTATCTTTCTCCTGTCTTAGGGGACTCATTTCTGTTTTAGGGAGGCATTTCCAAGTGATCCATTTTGAGCCATCTTTTCTGGTTAGAATGTGTTTAGGGAAATGATTGATAGCAGCTTAAGTGCCTTCCCCTTCCACTGACATCTGAATTTTAGAGAGTCAGACCTAGAATTTCAGAGATTGGTGAGATTAAGCTCAAGATTCACATTTTATAGATGGAGACCTGCAGACTCTGAAAGAGTAAGTCTCTGTGGTAAACTCTGAGAGACAGAAAAAGTCGTTGAGATTGAAGGACTGAATCTTGCATCAGTGGTATTTTAATCCCTGAGAAACCAAGAGTGTGTGTGTGTGTGTGTGTGTGTGTATTTTATTTTGTGTGACTAGTGGAGAAGGAGGAAAGTATATGGGGTCTTCTCAGGATGTCATGTAGAAATTAGAGCTGGAATAAACCTTTAAAGCCAAGTCAAATCCCTAGATTGTACAAATGAAATGACGGAGACCCCTATTGGTGAAGTGACTTAACCAAAAATTACACAGCTATTTAGTTGCAGAATTAGGTAAAACTAGAACTTCAGGTCTCATTTTCCAATTCAATGCCTCTTTTTCCATACCATGTGAAAAGCTACTTTTACAACCAACTCACAATATTGGTCCTGAAAGCACACAGTAGGGGACTTCTTTCCTTTGCATTGGCACTCATAATTGAAGATTCAATGGTCACATACCCTGGTCTTCCTCTACCCTCCAAACTCATTCCCATGTGTGAGAGACCCACTGATTATCAATTGTTTGTGTCCCTCCTCAGTAGCACATTCAGACATAAATATACAAGGAAGTGATCCCCACTTGGCGGGCTGAAACTAAGTTGTCTAAAGTGACTATCAGTATAGACTAAATCCTCTAGTGAGTTCCTCCCTTCTGTGTTGTTATCAGAATTGCAATGCCTTTGCTGTATTTGTTTGCGGCTTTCTTAAGGCATAATTGACATACAGGAATATGCACACATTTGAAGTATAAAAGTTGAGTTTTGACATTTGTATACACTAATGAAACCACCACCAGAATTAAGATAATACACATATCCACCACTCCCAAAATGTTCCTCATAGCCTGTTATAATATTATCCCTCCCTTCTACTACTTTCTCTCCTTGCTGGCTCCTCCTGCCCTTCTTGACTTGATTTGGTAGTGTTAAAATGTTCCAACCCAGAAAAACAGCCAGATTCTCTGGATCTGAGCCAAGAGTAGAAAACTTTCCTTGGGCTTTGCTTCCTTCCTCCTTTGAAAAGAAGCCAGACCCTCCCAAAGACCTTTCTTTGCAGCTGTATGCAAACAATTCTCAGAGTAGATCAAGGACCTTAAGAAAGGAACTGGGAGATTGGAACACTTCTATAGGTTGTAAGGAAGATTCTAAAGTAGCAAATTACTTGAGGATAAACTAAAGAAAGATTGGGGTGAAAAAATGTTTCTTAAAAAATATTTTTTTCTGTTATAAAACAGTATAAATTTGAAAAATAATGCAAAGAAGAAAATCTGCATAATCTCACTATCCTAGCTGAACACTGTCAGTCATCTGGCATGTTTTCATTCTTGCCTCTTTCCCTACCAGATAAAGAATTTCTTTATTGAAACCCACTTTAATGAAACTTTTGAGTTTTGGTGTTTATCTTTCTTTTCTCTACATACCTCCAGCACACGCCACCGTAATATAGCCATAAAAGCATGGAGTGTATATTTTTCTCAGGTCTCAGAGAAAGAATCAACATGTCTTCTTAGAGTAAGTGGCTGCAATATGCTATTAAGAACAAAAGCTCCATATTGTGGTTCTGTTAGCAAGTTCTAGAGAATTAGAATCTATAAAAATAGAGAAATGTTTCTTCTCTGTGGAACAAAAGTTTACAACAGGAAAGAACAACCCCTGAGGAAATCCAACTGCTATAAGCCAAAGGTATACCTTTGGGGTGGGGCGGGTGTTAGCGATAAGGAAGCTAACTTCTCAGTGTCCTTGTCTATGTACACTCATAACTTAGCTTCCTCATCCTTAAAATCCCCACCTTCCCCCCACTAGATTGGAAGGACTCGTTTTAATGCTGATTTTCTATGTTCAGCGCTCCAGATGGTCTGCTGGCCAATTGGTATGCTATGTAGTCCACCCCATATTTGTTGGAGGCAGTGAGGTGGAACAGAATATGCGCTGTCCTGGGAGTAAAGAAATCCCAGCACAGTGCCTGGCACAGAGTAGACACTCATTATATATTCATTGAATCTAGTGGACTTGAGTTCTAATCCTAGATTTTACCATTAACTTACTGAAAAGTTGTTAACTTGAAGAGAAAGAGTTTAAATGGATCTATCCTTATCACTATCCCCCAATATATAGAACTGGGCTAAGAGAAAGGAATTGGTTAACAAAAGATACTTAAGCCCCACTAGTCTCTAGTTTCTTAAACTACGAAGTGGGAATAGCAACTCTTGCCTATCTCTTTAGGATATTAGGCCAAATAATATAACAGGTGTGAAAGTGCATTGAAAAATATAAAATATTACACACAAGTAAGGAATTACTAAAATTATTGATAGAAGCCCCAAATTCACTGATGGGGATGGTAGGGGAGCTGGAAAACAAAGAGTCAAGGCTGCATTCCTAATAATTAGGGAGTAATTACCCACTGATTTTTGTTTAGGGAGCTGTGTACAACTAGGGAGCTGTGTGCAACTTCAATGGCATAATCAGATACCAAATGAATAGCGAGGGGTGCTTTGAGTTTGGATCTATCATTAGAGACTAAGGAAGATCATTCTTATGTAACTAGGGGTTCTCATCAGCATCCGTGATTGCCTTGCTATGTGCCTTTGGAAAGTGATCTGATTGCTCAAATTTCCATTTCCCTAACAGCAAAATGGGGCAATTGATCCCTTGATAGAAGTGTTGTGAAAATACATGAAGGAAAGGCAGAATATAATTCCAAAAGGCTGGATCAAAGATAGAAGGATTTTCCCCTTAAATCTTTTCAAATGTACCCCTCAGGAGCTGCCATAGAAAGTAAGCCCACTTTCTGAGATTTTCACAAGGAGAGGGAGGATAAATTTCTTACTCCCAACCCAAAGACAGGTAGTTATGCTCAAGATTCTAATTTTCTTAAGAACTTCGAAGATGTATCTTGAAATGGAAAGAAAAGTTGTGCTCTGATTGCTTTCCTACTTTAATCAAACTTTCTTTTTAAACTATCTCAGTTTAAAATGATTTAGAGCCTGGCCTTTGGCCACCTCTATATGCAAACAGTATGCTGGACCAACACCAAAAACACTCTGCTCACTGCAGCCCAAGTTGTGTTATTTGTAACCTGTAAACTGCAGCTCCTCGGACCACACTGCATTGACATGACATAATGTAGGGAAAAATTGAACAGGTTGAAGGTGATGGCAAGCAGAGGCTACAGATCAGCACACTGTCCTTGTGCTCATGTTAAGTCTGACTGCCACTGAACTGTAACAGTGAATAGAGTGGAAAGACAGAAAAGGGGAAGGGTTTATTCTGTGTGTTGGAGATCTGCCTTTCTAACGACTCAACCAAGCTGGCCTGTATTGGTCTAGTCTTATTTCATTGTTTTGGCAAGATTTAAAATTGACACTGCATATTGGAAGTTCTGAGATAAGACAATTGATGCCAGACAATTATGATTGAGGGACAAAAAGGGTCTTTTTATTTATTATTTTTATTAATCAGTGACAATAGATTCAGAATAACCTCCTGATGATTTTTTAAACATTTGTCTTGTTATGAAAATAATGTTAGCTTTTGAATTAAACACTTGAAAAAGTAGCTAGAGATAGATAAATTTCTGCTTACCTTTTCCCCACCTCCCAAAGATGACATAAAAGAACACACCCAGCATCAAATAGCAAACACAAGCACACATAAACAAATGTGCCTCCTGGCAGAACTGTTTTTTACAGTCTATTCACAAGCAAGTTTCTGAAATTGTGAATAGAGTTGCAAGGGCCTGTGATTGTAGCTTTTAATTATATAGCTTACCACCAAGCTTCCTGAATGATTGACATATAGCATAGCACATAACAGGAGTTTTATGGGGATGATTTCTAACAGTAAGTGACCCCTGAGTTATCTTTAACCTATTGTGCATGCACTTGTTCTGAGTACTGCCTTATAAGGAATTACATCCTGTCCCAACTCCCCTGCTGATATCTTAGGGACCAAAAAGACAACGCTAAAGGAAGCGCACTTTCCATTTCTCTTTGCCTTTCTTTCATTCCGAGACTATGACCTGTTGTATCTCAATAGGCTGAAATCCACGGACGGCAGATGGGGTGGTGAAAAAAGTGTTAGGTAGTTCCCCAGGGCTGATGGAGCCAGAGTCACTTTGTACTGAGCCTCCACTGTTCTCAAACTGTGAGATTTTCTTTTTGATCATCTTTCTCTCCTTGGCTCTGCGATTCTGAAACCAGATTTTCACCTGAAACACAAAATGCTTTGGATTTAATGAGACAACATACTGAATGCAATTTTCATAGTCATTGCTGATATTGTGCAGGGACTTTAGCATTTACAAAATCCTTTCACTTACGTCACTTCATTTGAGCCTCACAATGACCTTATAAAGTATGCCCATTTAACAGGTTAAAAAAAAGCTGCGACTCACCGAGTGAAAGTATCTTGCATGAGATGAAACTGAGATCAAGTCCAGGGCTACTGACTTTGAATGCAGTGGTTTCTATATTACACCTTACCCACCACCTCTGTTGCACAGGTAGAAATAAATAATGATAGAATGGCAGATGCTGAGGTGTGGTGATAAAAAAGGAGGGACTTAACAAAGGTGATTACAATTTGTCATTAAAAGAAACTTCCTAATAAAGTTAATGAAACATAAAACTGGGTGAACAAAGGTGATGAAATAGTATATCCCTTGCTGTGATACCAATGTGCCTTAATACATGGTTGAAATGTAAGCCACTTGGAATAAGGTAATACATTAATGGACTTTACAATTCTAAGATTCTGTGGTTCCAGGATTACTCCTAGACTTAAGTGAAAAAACATCAGGTAGTTATGTAATGTCAAAGTCTGGGTGAATGGAAACCATTGATCCTTGATATGATTTAATCTTTACTGAGTACCCACAGTAAGCTAAATTTGAGGCAGGCATCACAGGATTACACACACCATAAAAAATTAAATTTCCTACCCTGAATAATAGAAAAACTTGGTTCAGGTAGCAACATGGTTGTTCAGTTACTGTTGTAGTTTCACTGATATGAACTAGATAATCGCCATGATTGCCGAATCTTCACTTCACATGTTGGTTGTGACTACTTGGAGAATCATATCAAGATTTTGACTTGACTGGTCAATTCTATGGGTGTTTTAAATTCTTCTCCACCTCCAATGTCCCCACCCCTTGCTTACACACCTACATAGTGCCCACCACATTTGATTATTAATAAACTCACCAACCAAGGAGACTAAACTAGGAGGTCTAGTGGATGAATATGGGCTTTAGGAGAGGTTGGAGTATGTCTTGGTCTTCTGTTTCGCTTCCACTCCTGATTACAGACTTCACTAAAACCTCAGCCTATTGAAATGATTATATGAGACACGTTGGATGTACTTCTTGTGTACCTGTCTCTCAGAAAGGCCCAGGTTGACTGCCAGCTCTGATTTTCTCCGAATGGTGATGTATCTATTACAGTGGAATTCCTTCTCCAGCTCCAACCTTTGATGATCTGTGTAAACAACACGATACTTTTCTTTTGTCCTTGTTTTCCCTGTTAAGGGAGAAAGCAGTACATTTAATCCTTTTTACTTCTTTGGAGATTGTTTCAGCTGAAGGAATCAGAGCCACTCTTCCCATTCTTATCTATTACTTTCAAATATAAAACAAGGACATTTTTCGAACCAAATATGTCATAAATCCATTTCTCCATTAAATACTTTGTCATCTGTGACTATTACGTATATATGTAACCAATACATCTATGATGCCACCATTGACCTACTGTTACACCAAAGCATTTTAAAGCAAACACTTAATCCATGATTTTCATTCCCTTCCCACTCACATATGGGAACAGTATTGGCAGTAGTAGCAACATCCATTATACAAGCACTTTCCTTTATATTTTATGCAGTTCATTCATACTATTTCCTATTGAAACTCTCACCTGCACTTTCAAATTATGCAGAACATGTCTTATCCCCATTTGACAGATAAGGAACCTGAGGCTCATTGTAGGTAAATAAGTGGGTTTGTGCTAGTGAGCTGAGGAGTGGGGACCCGAACACATACCCTTGACTCCCAGTCCAGTGTGCTAAATGTTATTCCCAGTTTAAATATGCTAGGAAGCATAAGAATGGCCCAAGTGTGGCAAACTATTCTGTGATCCTGACATTATTAGTTACACACATTCTAGAGAAAATTTCATTTGGATTGTAATTTAAAAAGAAAGCGTTTATCATCACTTAGATTCTGTTCTAGGAGAGCCCCTATTACCTATTAGAAACAAATAGTTTAGTTTGTTTTTTGTGAGAGTCTTAAACCAATTTTTATTCCCAAGTGGATAATGAATGGGGGAAGGAGGGGGCGTTGACTTAAGCAGAGTAAAGTGAGCATTCTAGTATTCTTTGAAAGGATATACAAACATTTGCTTTGTGTTACAACATTTAACTAATTTCTCATGCCCTCCTTCAAATAGAGTTTTATTCCTCCTTTCAAATTTTCGAAAGGTGATTAGGAAGTTTCCCTTTCTTTTCAATTTTTTTAACCCCCTCCAGGATCTTCCTCCTTTTCTCTATGGCTTTTAGCAAACTCCTTCTGATCTTCCCTGGTTGTTTTTGATGTGAGATTTTGGGGAACAATCTGTAGGACAAAGCTTTCTTTAAAGTGGTTCCCTAAACTCCATTGAGGTGTTAAGATACAGCACAGGCCTAACAAAGGAGCTACACAGCATCAGATTCCATCCTGAACCCTCTTTACATTCAGGAACACCAGCCAATTGGTTTGGAATTTACAAGCCCTAAACAAATGTCAGACACTCTTTCATCTCTAGGAAAGAAAAAAAAAGGGACATGATTGTAGAAACAAATTCTAGGTGAGAGATATGTTTTAAGATTAAACTAAATGGCTGACTAACTCATGGACTAATGAACTAAACAAAACTTTCCCCTTGAAAATGGTGAAAGATGAACTCCAGTTAACCTACCTCAAAGGCCCAAACTTTGGGCTGATTTTCTGAATCCAGACGGAAACCCAGGAAACCCAGGGGTCTGGCATTTGGTATGTTACAAAGGCAGAATGTATATTTGAGCTTACAATGAAAACTTTGAAGTTTAATTTATTTCCAGAACCTCAAATCTTAGGATCAAAATATATCTTTGAAGAGATGTTTCCTAAAACCCTTCCTAATACCAAGGTGGCTGAGTATTTAAATTATAACCTGAGGCAGAAGTTAAAATTCAACTTGTGTGTGCCTGTGTTTTCGACTCTTTGATAATAAGTAAATATAACCAGACTTCAAGAACTCTGGAAGGTTGCAGTCCTTCCCTACCCCCATTGGTCATAAATTCTCCTCTTGCAGTTTCTTCTGAGGACAATAAAGTCAAGACCAGGCCTCTTTATTTGCCATGAAAATCCTCACCCTTTCCGGCAATATAACCCTTGAAGAAAGGAGGAACGAGGAAGAGCCCCGCTGCATATCAAAGCCATTGGAAGTGTTAAAAAGGGTCTGTTGCCCCAATCTGACAGATAAGACCTCAAACCTCAAGAAGATGTAGCTAAGGGAAAATATTGACTGCACAGTTTACAAAGAGAAATGAATCCCCATTTCCCAGTGCTCCTCTTGTGTCCCTCCCCCTGAACTGTCTTCTTTTCCTCCCCTGTCATTGCCTCTGCCCCTTAAATGATGAAATCGGATTGAATAGGATTTGGACATTTTCTAGTAGAGCATAATATCCATATTCCCATACCAAAGCACCAATAAAACACTAAGAGTACTAACTTTTATTGTTCAAGCTATTCTCTTCTCCTAAAGACTACGTTTATGAGGATGAAGGATCCCCTTCTCTGACACTATTGTGAGTTAATTTAGGAAAGTAACAATGTTTAAGATGTATTAAAGGGCTGCTTTCATCCCTCTGTAGTGAGATTTCATTGCCTCACCTCCCTCTTCCCCCATTCCCCCGGCAAAGACTCAGACAAACCTTTGTAATTCAGGATGGATGGACTCCTTCCCATTATCCAGGAGACAGTATCCCCACAGAGTTTGCAAGCAAGCGTCATCATATATGATAACTTATTATCACCCTAAATGTGCTCGTTTGAGAGACTGGCTGGGAAAGTGCTGTTAGGCAGAGAAGCACTCTCCAAATCTAAGGGTCATGACAATGATGATGGTGAGGGTAAAAATGATGAAAATCAATTTCCTTCTATAGGGAGTACAGTGCAATTGACCTCATCCTGATGACTTTCCGTCTTATGGTAATCCTTTGCTGCTTTTAGTTAAAGATTGCATCCAAATTCATTTATAAAAATTGTCCAATGAAAGGATCAAAACTAAGGAAGACAATGATAAGCTTCAAGAATTATTAAGCAACTCATTTTCTGAAGTGTCCTAATTGAATAAAACCCTTTAAATATATCTTCCTCAGTGTTTTGTCCAGTGGCTTCATCAGAATTATTCAGTCACTTCTTTCTCTCCCCCTCTTTCTCACCCCTAACGAGAAAGCCTCTCTCCAGCCCTGTTTAGATTACCACCTTGCCAGTTCTCATCCAGAGCTACAACTCTGCGTAAAAGAAAAGCTCTTAGCTCTAATGCACTGACAATATTTAAAATATGAAATTCTTAATTTTCACAGAAACCTTCTGTCAGGTTCCTTTTCATATAATTTTTAAATGAGATGTGTATTGGAACAGACCATTTAGGGAACAAAGTGGAAATAAAAATATCTCACTTTTTAATCAAATCACCTAGGAGACAGTCATTTACTCTGTATGCCAGTCCCCTTTCTCTCATTAGAAAATCAAATGTGATAATAATCATGATGAAATGTTTACTGATTGTCCCCTAATACGTGTATTTTTCTTTCTTTAACTCACCGCTATTTAAAACATTTTTCAGTAATGGAAAGAGCTTTCATTTGATTACCTTAATCAGGGAGAGGTTACTTCCATTTTGTAGTTCATCTATTTTCTTCTCAGCCATAAGCCAAATGTTGTCCCACAATACTACAGAGTGAAGTAGAAAATTTAGGAGAATCCGACTCATTCATTCATTTAACAAATATTTATTTAATACTCACTATGTATTAAGCACACAAATGGGTGCATTTTGGTTTGGAGTGATCCAATGAGATGATCAGCTTCATTTTTTTGTAGAGTTCATAACTTGAGATCCATGGAAGGGCTTCAGTGGATCCATGAATATCCCAAAATTATTTTAAAAATGATGTGTGTGTGTGCGTGTGTGCGTGCAGGTGTGCTTTTGTGCATTTTTCTGGGGAGAGGGTCCATAGTTTCCATCATATTCTTAAATTGTTGCTAAATATGCACCTTGGGCTACAAAAATATAGCAAAGTGGTAGTTTTAATTTATAGGACGTTAAAATGATTGAATTTAATAAAGTCTCATCTATAGGATAGGCTGCCAGGAGTCAAAGGAGGTCCAAAATCATTCAATTTTAAATTTCTCATAGAAGTTGGATAGAAAGTCTTGTGAAGGTGGCATTGTACAGCCAGGTACACAGCTTCACTAATGATGACGATACCACAGACTAAGTAGTCTCTTTCTAAACTCTCTTGGCACCAGAATTACCTAAGAGAGAGACTCTGGCCCATAAAAGCAAATCCAAATGGAAGACTTTAAGCAGAGAAACTTGTCGTATTTTCTCCTATAAACAGAAAATTCATGACTCAAGATTTCTTTTATCTTGTCCCTTTTTCCCCATCGTTCTCTCTTCCAAACAACATACAGATAACTTTCCTCTTCTAAAGTGTTTCAAAACTTAATCCTGGACTGGGAGCAGCTACTTTCCTGTCTGTTGCTGATGGTTAGGGCTTAGTGAATGGACGTTAATTACAACCCTAAGATTAGATGTAATAACAGCCCTGAGTATGCCCCACCCTAACCTCATTTTCTATTTATTCTATTTAGTCAGCCGACTCACCTATATTTTTAAAAAATGCAGATTTACTTCCAAACACTTTAAAGCCAAGTATTTAAGCTCTACTTATACTTTGAGATTGCTACCCTAGTATGTCCTAAACTGCCTCCTCCCGGCTGAATCCTCTTAATGGTAAAAGTTGATCCCTTCCCACCCTCCCACTTTTACTTTTTGGAAGGGAGAAGAAGTGCAGAATTGTGAACAGGAGCATAATCATTGTGGACAGATGCTATTGAAATGTCATTTCCTCCCCAGAGGGATGAAAGTGATGGAGTCGAATTTTACTAATTTTCTCGAGTCACAGGGAGCAACGGGTTGGAATAATAAGAACAACTACAGCTGAAAACAAACATCTCCCCGCCTACCACCTCGTCCAAGATTAAAACAGAGTGCCCACTTCCCCCGCCCGCGGGTCCCAGCCGCCCACTGGCTTGCTGGTAGGAGCGTGGGTCAGCGTTAGGCTGGGATTTCTGGGCCTTCACCGCGCGCGGTCACTGACCTGCATCCAAACCCTGCGCCTCGGGACGCCTGCCGGGACAGTTATGAGGGCTTTAACCACTTAGTGCTGGGGCTGATATTCGAGCGCGCCCAGCGGATGTTAGGGTTTGAGTAGCTTACTATGTCCATGCGGTGTGCTGTACCCTTCCTCAATGCTTCCACTGGCGGAAAGGACGTTGAAAGAAGGCATTGGGTTTGAGTCCAGCTCACCTCTGCCAACTTGGGCAGAGCTTCCTTGAGAGGCCAGGGTGAGGAGGCCGCTTTGCCATCGGGGCATTCGTGGCTAAACTGGAGGGTCTGTTGCCAGCCAAGCACCGTGAAGCTAAGTTGAGCATCACGAGATTTTGGGAGAAGCCGACTCGCCCACGTGGGGAAGAGTTTGAAATGCAACGGGCAAGCAGCAGTGACTGAGCCTCCGGACACCGTGGCTATCTTTTCGCCTCATTCACCCTTTGATCTTTACCGTGCATCTGCTTTCCCATCTGGGCAACTACAGGGTTGGATGCTGATCCTTGTGACTCAACATGCCCACTGTTCACTCGCTTGCTTCCTTGACTGATCAGGGAATGGTGAAAAACACCTCTAGGGTCGGTTTAATTCCAAGTGCCACACACTGTGGGCTTTGAGCAGGGCTACACGCGAGGGTGGTCACTAATGGGCGGGGGCCCTGGGCAGTCAGCCACGCAGTGGACTCCTCAGCTAAGCTGTCTCAGGAGAGGCCCGAGGAGTAGGAGGGCGGGCAGGCCAAGGGAAGTAGACGAGAAGCAAAGGAAGGAAAGGTGTGAGGGCATTAGAATCGATTACTCACCAGTCACCTGCACAGTCTTGCGCATCCACGCATAGGGGCTGTGACGACTTCTGCTGGGAGAACTGACATTGACGGTGCTGGCGTCGATGGGGAACAGTGACCCGCCGGCTGGGGCTGTCAGGCTGCCACTGCTGCTTCCACCGCCCGCGGGTCCCAGGTTGCTGTATTCCGGCGATCCAAAAGCTGCGGGGCTCGAGGTCATGTCGTTCATGGGCACCGCGCCCATTGTATTTGATGGCCCTGGATAAGCGCTCCAGTCTTCCCGAGGGGGACTATAGGGTGGGCCCCAGTTTCCCAGCGGCGGCCCGTGAGGATCCATGCTGGGTATATGGGGATACCCCATATAGTGTGCGTAAGCTGGGGCCGCTGCAAAGTTGGAGGCTGGCAGCGGACTCCCACCGCCCCCGGTGCCGACAGCCCCAGCGGTGCCGCCCCCCGCAGGGCTCCTGAGAGTGCCCGGGTACATGCCCGCTTCTTTTTCCAAAAGGCAGCTTCTGTACATGGTGGCTTGGGTATGAGGAAGAAACTCTCTAAGCCATCCTGAAATCCCTGTAAGGCCCCAACCTGACTCTGAGAAGCAGCGGGGAATCAATAGGTCAGTCCGTAGCTGTGCTGCACGCTCCTCTGCCCCCCTTAGGCTACTCCATCCCGCGTTTCCTACCCTGACGGTTTCCAGGTGACTGGTAGCCCAGTATAGATGGGCCACCAATGGCTGGGCTGACATCAAGGGGCTTCAGGCTTTTACATAGCATTTGCATTCAAATGAAGGGCCATTTCACTTTCACAGGGACTTGTTCACTCTGCTCCCTCTCCCAGAGCTCCTGGGCCTTTCTGTCTCATCTTTCTGGCTTTTGTCCATCTGTTCCCCATAGCACTAGTCTTGGGCTTTTGGAGGCAGGAGCTCCCCCAGGTGTTTCTGACTGGCCCCCTCCAAAGTGAGATGGAGACTGCAGAAGCAGGGTCAAAGTCCTGCTTTTTGGAATTCAGTCCTTACCCTGAGGGTCTCTTCCCTTTCCACTGATCTTCCTGCACCCAGCCTGCATCCATGGTATCCCCTCTGCCCACATTCCCTGGCAGGAGTACTTGACATGGCACTGGTACATAATACCACTGAAAAGAGCTTTCCCTTCTCCTCATTGCCCCCTCCCCCAGGAGGAGGGCTTTGTTTGTAAGGATAGGGATTCATTTCACAACTATATATTTTATGCTTACTGTGTGCCAGGCACTGTTGTAGGCACTGGGGATACAGACGTGAACAAGAGACAAACATTTCTGCTCTGCCTTCCTAAGGTTACATTCCAGTGGATGACAGGCTAGATTAATTGGATGTTTTACAAATATGCACAAATTAAAGAAATATGAAGAGAGTAGGTTATGAAAAAGGGAAGGAAAGAGGGAGAAGAACCATGTGAGTAGTGGGCTTTCTTATTTTCATATCAGTTCACTAGTCTCGGGTGTCTCTTTCTGCCAAGTATGGCTTCTGCCTCAAAGCCAGTGCACCAAGCAGCCAAATTCCTGCAGTCTCAAATCCAAGGAAGCTACAGCTCCCAATTTTCTTTACACTTAAGGAGATTTCCTTTGTAAAGCTCCAATTGTTGAAAAAGACATGGGCTTGCCAGTAGATGCCAATAAACTCAAGATTTTGCTTCCAGAAACCAGATCACCTCCTGACCACAAAACCAATCTCTATCCCAGTGTTTCTTCCACCCCCACCATCCCCCATCCCTTCCCCCCTCCCAAAACCTGCCACAACCTTTAGTCCAGGCTGTGCTCCTACTCAGGGAAGGTGCTACTCTATAAAGTCCAACCCAGCCTGACACCCCCATTAACTACTCCCTTTTTGGCTTTGGAAATATCACTTTACTTCTAGGAGTTTCAAGGTTTTTCCTTGTGTAAAATAAGGATCTTAACAGTGTCTGCATTGCAAGGCAGGATTTGCTGCGATAATGTATGCAAACTGCTTAACTTAGTGCTTGATACATAGTATGAGACTACTGTATTAATTAATTCATTCAACAAATATTTATTGAGTGCTAGGTGCTGTTCTATGCGTGGAGATGTAAACAGTGAACAGACGAAGCCCTTGACTTTATTAAGCTTATATTCTAATCAGGAAAAACACTAATAAGTAATTAAATTTTATGGTATATCAGATGGTAATAATCAATGCTGTGAAGAAAAAGAAAGCAGGAAGGAGGATAGGGAATGCTAGGGGGTGTTGCAGTTTTAAATGTGGTAGTCTAGGAGGACCTCACTTAGAAGTGACATTTAAATAAAATATAGAGGAGGTGATGGAGTGAGCTAGGAGGAGAGGACCCAGACAGAGGGAACAAGTGAAAAGAGAATGTCTATCTTCTACTGGAGAAACAGCAAGAAAGACAGTGTGGCTAAAGAATAAATGAGGCCCAAAAGCTAAAAGGGAGTAGATCATTGTAAAGATTCTACTTTTTGCTCTAAGTAAGGTAGGGAAACATTGTAGCATTTTGAGCAGATGAGTGACATAATTTGACTTAAGTATTGAAAGGGTTACTCTGGCTGTTGTATTAAGAACAGACTGTAATTGAGTTGTCAGGTTTTTTTTGTTGTTGAGATGCATGAGTTCTTTATATACTTTGGATATTAACCCCTTATCAGATATATGCTTTGCAAATATCTTCTCCCAGTTGTCAGGTTGTCTTTTATATCAAGGAAATGCAAATCAAAACTACAATGAGATATCACCTCACTCCCTGCAGAATGGCTATAATTAACAAGACAGGAAACAACATGTGTTGGAGAGGATGTGGAGAGAAAGGAACTCTCATATACTGCTGGTGGGAGTGCCAACTGGTGCAGCCACTATGGAAAACAGTATGGAGATTCCTCAAAAAATTAAAAATAGAACTACCAGGTGATCCAGCTATTCCACTGCTGAGTGTTTATCCAAAGAACATGAAAACACACATGCGTAAAGATACATGCACCTTTGTGATCATTGCAGCATTATCCACAATAGCCAAGACTTGGAAGCAACCTAAGTGCCCATCAAGAGATGAATGGATGAAGAAGATGTGGTATATATACACAATGGAATACTACTCAGCCATAAGAAACGATGAAATCCAGCTATTTGTGACAACATGGATGGACATTGAGGGTATTATGCTAAGTGAACTAAGTCAGAGGGAGAAGGTCAAATACTGTATGATCTCACTCATAAGCAGAAGATAAAAACAACAGCAAACACAGAGACAGAGATTGGATTGGTGGTTACCAGAGAGGAAGGGAGGAGAGAGGAGCGTGAAAGGGATGATTAGGCACACGTGTGTGGTGATGGAATGTAATTAGTCTTTGGGTGGTGAACATGATGTAATCTATGCAGAAATCGAAGGATAACGATGTACACCTGAAACTTACATAATGTTGTAAACCAATGTTACCGCAATAAAAAAAAAAAAGGAAATGTAGTCCAACCAAAACAATAAAGTTGTATTTAATAGGAAAAAAAAAAGTATAGACTGTAAGTGGGCAAAATAGAATCAGGCTGATTAATTAAAAGGCTATTACAGGGCCGGCCGTGGCTTAGCGGTTAAGTGCACGCACTCCGCTGCTGGCAGCCCGGGTTCGGATCCCGGGCGCGCACAGATGCACCGCTTCTCCGGCCTCGGCCGCGTCCCACATACAGCAACTAGAAGGATGTGCAGCTATGACATACAACTATCTACTGGGGCTTTGGGGGGAAAAAATAAATAAATAAAAATCTTTAAAAAAAAAAAAAGGGTATTACAATAATCCAGGTGAATGGTATTGGGGATGGAGAGAAGTGGTTGGATTCTGGATATACTTTGAAGCCTGCTTTGGAGAAGGAGAAAGAGGAGAAGGAACAGCAAAGACTAATTAAAGCCTGGCACTGGGGAGAAGGGACTAAGGGGCAGGAAAGTAACATACCTATATGCACTTTTTGCACATGATCTCATTTAATCTTTACAACAGCCCCATGAGTTATTTACTAGCATTTCCATTTTAGAGATGAAGAAACTGAGGCTCAGAGAGGTGGCATGACTATTTATTTATTATTATTTTTTAATTATTATTTTTTTTTTGTGAGGAAGACTGGCCCTGGGCTAACATACATGCCTATCTTCCTCCACTTTATATGGGATGCCGCCACAGCATGGCTTGCTGAGCGGTGCATTGGTGCGCGCCCGGGATCCGAACCGTGAACCCCAGGCCTCCACAGCGGAGGGCGTGCACTTAACCGCTTGCGCCACCTATTTAATGACTATTTAAATGAACTACTGGTGTGTAATAAAGCTAGGTTTCCATCTTTGGCCACCCTGACTTCAAAGTTCCGTTCTTAAATTGGAATCCTGCTAAATGTACGACCTCAGGGCTTGGCCCTGGGGCTTGACTTCTATTTTCTTTCTTTGCTCAGGCTCCCAGGTTGGCATTCAATACTCATCATAACACAGACTCAATTACCCTTGCGTTATTCTCTTTCACCTATTCTATCCTGAGGCAAACTGGTCTACCTGATATTTGAAAAACTATGTCAGGATGGAAGCACATAGAGGACCTTTAAAAGTTAGCTAGCCTAATAATGCCATTTTACTATGAGGAAACTAAGGGCCTGAGAGGGGAAAGTATTCTTTAAGGAAGTAAATGACAGAACTGAGATTCAAACTCAGGTCTGTTGACTCCTAAAGCGACATTCTTTCTACTAAAAAATTTATCTTTGCTTATGCAGTTCCCTTTGTCTAGACTGTTTTTATCCATAAAAAATGTTCAAATTCTCCCTATTCTTCAAGGCTCAGCTCAAATGCCCCCTCCTCCCTAAATTCCTATGTGATGATGCTCCACTCAGAAAGCACTCTTCCTCTTGTCTGACTCTCATTACCAACTCCCCTGTCCCACTGACTAATAATATTCTTGTCTACCTTAGAGTTATTTGGGGTCTTATCTGAATCTTTTGGCATTTGAACACTTTGAAGGGGTGTGAGGAGGTGTGTTTGAGCCCAGCAGAGTGGAGTGTCATGCACATGGTAGAGCCTTGGGAAATATTTGTGTGCTGAATCAATAAATGACCTCAGAACTATAGACTGGAAATTACCATTTTGACCCAGCTCCAGGGATATCTGGAAGAGAAGCCAGTAAGAACATTGTCCAGTGCTTGGCAGAACCTGGCTTCAGGATTACTCTGTTTTTGTTTGTTTGTTTCCAGTGGTGTGGGAGTGGGGTGGGAGTGGATAGGGAGGTAGGAGAGGGAGGCGGACAGGCAGGGAGATTCAGTCTAGTTTATTTGGCTGGAAACTTTTATTTCTTTCTTTACCTGGAGGTTAACCAGAGAGGTAGCCTCACTGCAGGACGCAGAGTGGCCAGCAGCAGGAGTCAAATCCCATGTACTGAAGATCAGGGCTCAGGCAATGCAAGGGTTATTTAATGCCACTAGGGAGTGATCTCTCAGTTTTTCTGAGACTTAGAGAGGCATCAGTCAAATGCGGCCTCTGTGAGACCTCTCTCTGC